ATTAAGTCATAGAGGTATGGAATGGTCAGTTGCATGACGGAATATAAAGTCATAGAATGGTCAGTTGCATGACGGAATATAAAGTCATAGAATGGTCTGTTGTATGACGGAATATAAAGTCATAGAATGGTCACTTGTATGACGGAATATAAAGTCATAGAATGGTCACTTGTACGACGGAATATAAAGTCATAGAGGTATGGAACGGTCAGTTGCATGACGGAATATAAAGTCATAGAATGGTCAGTTGCATGACGGAATATAAAGTCATAGAATGGTCAGTTGTATGACGTAATATTAAGTCATAGAGGTATGGAATGGTCAGTTGCATGACGGAATATAAAGTCATAGAATGGTCAGTTGCATGACGGAATATAAAGTCATAGAATCGTCAGTTGTATGACGGAATATAAAGTCATAGAATGGTCAGTTGTATGACGTAATATAAAGTCATAGAATGGTCAGTTGTATGACGTAATATTAAGTCATAGAGGTATGGAATGGTCAGTTGCATGACGGAATATACAGTCATAGAATGGTCAGTTGCATGACTGAATATAAAGTCATAGAATGGTCAGTTGTATGACGGAATATAAAGTCATAGAATGGTCAGTTGTATGACGTAATATAAAGTCATAGAATGGTCAGTTGTATGACGTAATATTAAGTCATAGAGGTATGGAATGGTCAGTTGCATGACGGAATATAAAGTCATAGAATGGTCAGTTGCATGACGGAATATAAAGTCATAGAATGGTCAGTTGTATGACGGAATATAAAGTCATAGAATGGTCACTTGTATGACGGAATATAAAGTCATAGAATGGTCACTTGTATGGGGTAATATAAAGTCATAGAATGGTCAGTTGTATGACGGAATATAAAGTCATAGAATGGTCAGTTGTATGACGGAATATAAAGTCATAGAATGGTCACTTGTATGACGGAATATAAAGTCATAGAATGGTCACTTGTATGGGGTAATATAAAGTCATAGAATGGTCAGTTGCATGACGGAATATAAAGTCATAGAATAGTCAGTTGTATGACGGAATATAAAGTCATAGAATGGTCAGTTGTATGACGTAATATAAAGTCATAGAATGGTCAGTTGTATGAGAGAATATAAATAGAATGGTCAGTTGTATGATGGGCTACCTCTACTACTCGTAACATTAGTCCGTAACCCAACAGAACAGAAGAGACGTCTATCTTTTATCATTTGTCACAACAACCATCTCGTGTAGGACAAAGTCGTTAGCTCTACCTCCTGATTACAACATGCATGCCCTCACCTAGAAGGAAAAAAAAACGTCTTTAACATGAAACTTCAATAGGTAAGCATTAATTAAACTTTATTTCTTTATCATTTATTAAAAGAACCAGCTTATAAAAGACTCCATCATTTTATCAGGTGTTGAGCTGACCCGCTGAATTGACCCACTACTCTAAAAAAAAAGCTTTTGATAATTTAAAAGACCGCTTTGACGAGGTGTCGAGTTGAAACGCAGAACTGAAAAATAATTTGCAAAATTTTTTTTGAAAATCTCACGACCTTTGTGACGTTGTGTCGAACTGACCCGCATAGTTGACCTACTATATATAAATAGTCTTTGATAATTTAAATAGCGCCTTGTCTAGGGGTCGATATGACCTGAGAATTAGCCACTGGTGTAAATAAAATTCTGGCCTTTGATAATATGTCAATAACACGAGCGGTTAAAGTGACCCTTATATTTGTGACGGTTATCTTAATTTGTTCTTTGAAGCCTTAACACGCACTGAGGTTTTATTTCTATGAAGCTGTGAACGTAATCATAAATTATATAAATAATATAAAATAAATAAACTAACAAATGACTGATTTTGTTTTTCTATCACTTACACGATACCAAAGTTTTTCTGTAGTTATGTTGCAATATGGGGCAGCTAAGGCGTATTCGAGTACTTCAACTATCTATCACCTACACGATACCAAAGCTCATTGTAGTTATTTGTTGCAATATGGGGCAGCTAAGGCGTATTCGAGTACTTCAACTATCTATCACCTACACGATACCAAAGCTCATTGTAGTTATTTGTTGCAATATGGGGCAGCTAAGGCGTATTCGAGTACTTCAACTATCTATCACCTACACGATACCAAAGCTCATTGTAGTTATTTGTTGCAATATGGGGCAGCTAAGGCGTATTCGAGTACTTCGTTTTGCTCATGGATTGGACAACACGTAACTCGGAGACGACTAAATAGGCAACGACCAACCCGACTAAATAGGCAACGACCAACCCGACTAAATAGGCAACGACCAACCCGACTAAATAGGCAACGACCAACCCGACTAAATAGGCAACGAACAACCCGACAACAACCTACTCGGCAACGACCAACCCGACAGCCACCAACTTGACGACGGCAACCTGATTGATTCAAAGATACGTCCCATTATTTATCCTAGTACTTAACTAGCTGATTTATCACACGTATTTCAAACCAGGGGCGTCGCGAGGCGGGGGAGGGGAGGGGGGATGCGGACCGCACCGGGTGACACCATTTAGGGGGTGTTACCAAGACCAAAAATTGCAAGATAAATAGAATAAATATTTTTTCTAGCTTAATAAAGGTTAATTAGAGTAAAAAATTGATTTAATCATATATTGACGATTCCGACAAGGGTTAGTTGGGGGGGGGGGGGGTGACACCATGACGTAAACATACAAACTATAGAGAAAACAATGCTGCATTCAGCTGTATTAACAATCGGCTATATATAAACAGCGTTAGTATTAAATGTGAACACTTTAAAACTTTTACTCGGGGGGAGGGGGGACAGCAACTGCAAAATGTATAGAAAAAGAAGGGGGGGGGGGTTTGACACCATGAGCTACCACACCGGGTGACACCCGACCTAGCGACCTAGATGGTATACATTCTATAAAACCCGATAATGTTTTGTATTGCCTATAATACTAACTAGTAACGACGAAGATACCTTTTACGCTTAAGTCACAACACCCTGAAAAACATTGAGTAAAGATTGACGAGATGTATAGCTGCATTTAACGGCGTTCTTTAGCGAGACGACGAAAATCTGTTTAGATATTCTAAGATATGTGTGGGCTTGATGCTTTAGCTATAACCGGCTGCAAATATTGAGAATCAGATCACATTTGCATATATCGAAATGTGAACGTTCTTTAATTAAAATTTTAATTGATGAACATTCATTAATTAAAATTTTAATTAATTTATATGATGGAGTCAGTTGCGGGATCACGCTGGGTTCGATTTCCCACTCTGTAATTGATTGGGAAGTTAGCTTCATGTTGCCAGAATGTATCTGGATCAGCTATAATGTAACACATATCATTGTTACCATTCAAGGGGGTTAAATATAAGTTATAATTTATTGTGTTGCGACCCCTGTGGGACCGCAACTGTTGATGTAGGGCCTAGTTTTTATTGTTCTTCGGTGAGCGATTTTTACCCGTGTTGCATGTCATGTTGCGGCCCATTTGGGACCTCAACTGTTGATGTATTTTTTATGCTCTTCTGTGAGCAATGTTCCCCGTGTTCCCATGTCATGTGACCTCTGGGATTCTGTGTAGTTCATACCTGTGTCTGTGTCATTCAGACCCAAGGCTGCTGTGGACACGGACGGTGCCGTTGCCTATGATAAGTAGATCATGTAGACCTAATGAAGGATTACTGTTTTCTACGTTTCTACTGTCACCATGGCTGATTGGCTTGGGTGTTAATGTCAATAAATTTAAATCCAGTATTTAACAACATCAGCGTCGTTCCGTTGTGTGCCATATCTCAGGGTCAGCCCTTTAAAACACAACACCTCAGCATTCTCATTGAGTGAGTGTTACAATAATATTAAAGGTTTATCAAGTAGATTACAGTAGAGAATACCCACTTGTAGGCACTGCGAAATATAACGCAGTCATTTGTAGTGAGTTGAAAATTTTTAAAACACTTTCTTTAGTAGAGACTAAGATGTATAACTCTTTCCCTAGTTTTTATTGGAATATATAAAATTCACTGCTAAGCATTGGTATATATAGCATAATGGCTTGTCACTTCTGAGATATATATAACACGCTCTTTTCAAAATATTGCAGAAAATTAAATACTGAAAATAAAAAAAAAATAAAAAAAACTCCATTCCGCTAAATATAGTCAAAATTTTAAAAAATGTTTACGACGATTTTACAGAATTAAACTGGTTTTTAAAAAAAAATCAGAATTATAAAAATATTTGAGCAGAAAAAGTGTTTGTTTTGTAAATGTATCAAATTCACTCGTCATATTCTGCTAATTTAATAAACATCTAATTTTAACCTATTTCGAATTTTGTTGTCGCAACAAGACTCTCTCCTGTAGGTTATTCTACATGTCACCCAACAATGTTTACACTGTAGTTAGATCCGCCCCTGGCCACAAGCTGTCTCTTCTACAAACAACTCTGTAGTCACTTTGACTTTAGTGGAGATAAGAACGTGGTAGTCAGGCTATGTGTTGCACTACAGGAAACCTAGCGCTACGTGAGCTAGTCTTGGATCGTACCCCACCACAAGCTACAGAGATTTTTGTTGATTTGGACCAAGCTATCACCGAAACTGTTGTTAAAGTTAACTAAACCATACATTGAGTTACTGGAGTTGCTTTTGGTGTTCAATATGCAGTTTGCTATTACAGTATCAGTGTTTGCACTGACGCTACTTTTGAGTGTGTCAGGAGAATATGCATGTCCACAGGTAATATTTTTAATAAGAAAAAGTGTGCATTTTATCTTTAGTTTTGTCTTTAATGTAGTTTTTAACCTCAAAATCCACTAAAACTAATTATGTATATGTATAAGTTAGTAATAAGATGCATATATATGTTTGTGTATTTGTCAGAATTGCACATGTAATCCAACAAACCAGGACACACAATTAAACAATGGACAAAATAATGACATACAGTGCAAACTAAACGTTTTTGAACCGGAGAATTTTGCTACCATTCCAGAAACAGCTACATTGCGAATTGAGGTAAAACGTTTACTACGTTACGTTAGTCAAATGTAACTCATACCATGTGTTACCAGTCAGGGGGATAATTTATATTTTAGTCAATTAGTATTAATTAATGACTTCAATTAGGGGTGAGAATCTGGCTTTTTGTAAGCCGATTAAAAACATGATGCCATATGTGAATGGCCCCTGAATCATAAGGTTATCCGACTTTGTACATGTGAAAAACATGTTTGCGTTTTTATGCATAACCACACCATTCATCCGATTGTCATGAAAAGTTGGGAAGCTGTTGAGTACAGCCACGTAAAGGTTTCTGTTATAGGACTAAAATATAGGAGTGGCGGCACCCCACGGTAATATGTGATTTAGCACCCCTAGTTTCTCACAAGGGCGGAACTAACTTGCTGTCAAACCCCGCAATGCGGCGGGGAGGGGGGGGGGGGGTGAGGCCGTTTACTGGGGACAAATCCGACTGAAAACAAACAATGATTTTTTTTTCATTAATAATGTTTTTTTTTCGTGCAACTGGATAGTGGTTTTGATTGTTCTACAGTAACGCTAACTCACACTGTTACGTAGAAAAATATTTTTGAAATCTACATGAGCTGTAGTGTAAAAGATAGGCAAACGCTCACACTGTTTCCAATACTTACTGCCCTTCTTAAAATAGTCTAATAGTTTCAAATGCATAGTTTAAAAAAAATTCAATCTATAACTAAACGGGATGTCTTTAGAAAAATTTCGATAATAGTATTCACAGTTTCAAATGATCAGTTAGGCTGAACAAAGTAACAAAGCCTAAGCAGCCGTCGTGTTGTATCAGTCGTACCTTGTCTAGTAAGTCTAGTGCCATTGACTACATGGAAATTGCAGTATTCGGACTAGTTATGAAACAAGCAATCGAAAAATGATCTTATTTGTTACTAATTTTCTAGTAAACGTGTATTAAGTAATTTTATAATTTAAAATATATATTTATTAATATAGAAAATCACGTTATATTTTTCTTAGGTCTTAAAATTTGGGCAAAAGAGAATCGCATTTCACCCACAGAATCAAACCTTAGCTATTTTACTAATCAGATAGCGATTACAAGTTGTAATGCAATCAAGTAAAAGTTTAGAGAATCGTAAGAATCTTAAAAAGAACTAGTCGCGTCAATCCTTAATAAAACTGGCTAGTGAAATCGTACATTACGCGTTAATACAATCGGTTTATATTCTAAGTGTAAAACGATTTTATCTACTCACCGTTCTATTATAAATACTTCCCATCTACCTTGGCGAAAAAGCTCCCCCACCCACCACCTTTTTCTCATTTTGCCGTTACATAATACTTTAATACAATTTGTCTTTTTTAAGTATTAAAATTTATCTACTCACCATTCCAGTACAAATCCATACGATTTTCGTTGGAGAAAATATACCCCCTCCCACCATCTTGAAAACATTTGAAAGAGGGTTTTTTATCGTCACTGACTTTTTTTACGGTTACACAATCCTAAAGTAAATTCTAACACAATTGGTTTCTTTTATAAGTGATACATCTACTCATCAATCCATTGTAAATCCTTCCGATTTTAGCCGCCCCCCCCCCCCTCAAGCTTTCAATTTATTTTTCCAACCCATTTTGGCGCCCCCTAAGGTCGGCGCCCCGGGGACATATGTCCCCCCCCCCGCCCACCCTCGCTACTCATCAATCCATTGTAAATCCTTCCGATTTTAGTCACCCCCCCCCCCCCCCAATCTAGGAACAAATGTAAAGCGGTTTATGCCGATCACAGTTTCTTAAGGTTATTTGCTTTAGTTACACAATCAAGGTAGAAAACAGTGAAATTAGTATGTAAATGCGTGCAGTGTTTCTTCCAGACTTTTTTCTCCCGGGGGGGGGGGAGGCACTTGAAATTTTTCGGGAGGGCGGTAGACTTTCTTCGGGGAGTGGGGGGGGGGGGGCGGACACTGTTAAAAGTATAAATTTTCTATATAAATTATATAAATTTCATTTCGTTCGGGGGAGCGGTAAAAATTTTTCGGCAGGGGGATTTTTTATGGTTAAACATTTTTCTCTTTGCGCATATTTCTGTGTGTGCAAATTCCTGTTTGCGTTTTTTTTCTGTTTGCGCATTGTTCCATTGCGATATATATATATATATATATATATATATATATATATATATATATATATATATAGCCTACTTATGTGTGTTTATTTGTGCTTGTGAATACAGAGTTCTAAACCACTCAAGTTTGAGGACGACAGCCTTCCTAAAGTCAAAACTTTAATCATTTTTTCACGAAATTCAGAGGTTGCAGCCAATGCTTGGCGAAAATCTGCAAATTTCCTAGAAGATTTAACAATAAATAAAATCAATCTCATTGATGCTTCGGAATCTTTCAAGATGTTAACAGCAATCAAACGTCTTTCTTTATCTAGTACAAAGCTGAAAGATCTCACAGAAGATTCTTTGAAGACAATAACTGAAACTTTGGAGTTTTTGGACTTGAGATATTTAAGTAAAGAAGACTGGCCTGTAAGTTTTGACAAGTTAACTAAGTTAAGAACTCTTTCTATGACTGAATGTGATTCGTCTTTACTACCCAACAACCTTCCCAAATCAGTAATAGACATCGAGATAGAGAATATGGAAATACAGAAAATACCGGCGTTCGATGCAGAAGAATTAATATATCTGACGTTGAATAACTGCAGTATAACGACAATCACTACACAGATTTCAACACAATACAGTCAATTAAATGAATTAAGAATATTAGACAATGGCCATCAAACAATGAAAATAGAAGAACATGCTTTTGAGAATATGGTTAAATTAAACAAAGTTCATCTCAGTGGCACACAATTTGAGGCTTCACAAAATACCTTCACCCATTTGACAGCGCTTGAAAAACTTATTGTCGATTCTGACGAGTTCTGTAGTGAGGTAAACAAGATTAAAAATATATGCACTACTTCCACAGGTGAAAATGAAATATGATTGTTAAAATATAAACTAAATTTATGATCAGAACAAGCTTATTATATAAACCATGAAATAAACCATGAAATTCATTCTAAAATTACTACTTATATGCTATTTCAAAATAATGTCAAAACAATATCAATAAATGATTTTAAATGAAAACAGTAGTTAAAATGGAAAACAGTTTTAAAAGGCTGTCTCCACTAACCCTGAAATACTGACCCTCGGAATATCAAAAACTATAAATTATAATAATCTGATTTATAAAGTCCAGCTGGCATGTATATATTTTTAATTTTTCAACAATTATATTTCATTGGTTTCTAAGGTAATTTAGTTGGTTATTTTTTGTCAAATTAAATATTTGAGAGATGGTTTTAAACTACACATTTACTCTTCAACTTCTACCACTTCTTCTTAATATAAAATAAAATCTAACAATGTTATGATGTTTTATTTATTTATTATTTAAAACACATCTTTAAAGAATATTTTCCACTAATAATGAAGTTATCCCGTATGTCAATCTTTTACTGAAGTCATTGTCTTTTTATTATTCAACAAATTTCTTAGGGTAATTAGAATTTCTTTCTTCTTTTAATATTCCTTAGGCTTTTTATTTTATGATTTAACCATTAATCTTTACTGGATTTAAATTTTAAGGATTGGTATTTCTTGCAAAATATTAAATAAAAATTAAATTAAATAAATGTTTTTTGTTGTTTTTGTTAAAGTTAAACAATGTTTTTAGTTTTTTGTATAAATTAACCTACAATGTCTAGCTACTAGTTAAGAAGTACAATAAAATCATTTCTAGTCTATCTACTGGCTCACTCAATAATAATACCAGTGTGATATTAAGAAATATAAAGGATTCAGATTATTAACATTGTACATTTTGTGGATTGTAGATTGCAACACTAATTGCAGTATGTGTAAAAATTTATAACACTAATGTCAGTAAAATTATTACAAATAATTAAAATACAATCTCTATTAAAGAATTAAAATGCATTGATTAATCGGTAATATATGAAAAGATTACTGGGGTTATTTCTAGTATTACAAAAAAGAATCAAGTAACCATATATTGTGGTTTGTCAAAACTGGCTCAAAAAGCAATTCACACTTAAAGGCATAAAGCTTATGGTTTGCGTCGTTGTATTATAAATTCCCTGTAAAATTTTCTTTGCATTGTTGTTACTAATTCATGGGTACCTTGTTTACACTGACACATTTTCAACTGTGAATTTTATTTGGTAGAATTTGATGTTTCATTTTATTTTAGTTTGTATAATCTGCAACTACAAACAGCAAATTTTATATTTGATGTTTGAAATACTAACTTGATATTAAACGTTAGTTTAATATAACATTTACATTTTATCCTCAGAGGCTGAAGAGTCATTTGCATTCAAACTAAATCACAATAAAATAATTACATTTCGAATAATTAGATTCTATAGAGTGATGCTAAAGAAAGTGCACTTATAAAATGAAAATAACTTTTATACATAAAGTATGCTATCTTAATTAAATAACTTACATATTCATGTTTTGTATATGTAAACTTAATTATCTTCATTGGGTTTACATTAATTATGTTTATTTTCAATATAAACCAGTATTATCAATAACTTTATAAGTGTGATAAAATAGATAATGTTTATTTTCCAGTCTCTGTTGATGTAATCTAACTTTGAGAAAACTATAGTTAAAAGACTGAAATTTTTGTAGTACAATGCTCAATGATTTATGGGGCGGGTTTGAATTAAAAACTTAACGGCATGACAGTGCCTTTAAAAATAAAGTAAATATTATGTGTGTAGTTAATAATGTAAGTCTAATTGGAATCATTTAAATCTAAAATAACTTCGTGTACAGTATGGTCCCATTAGCTTAGTCTTGTTGTACCTTTTCAGTACAAATGTAGTTCTCACTTCCATGTCTTTGATGGTCAGCTTTTATCATACAACAGGTGATACAACAAAATACTTCTTTCAACATTTAATTGTAACAAGCACATGTAATAGTAAAAACTCTAGTACTAATTATATTAAACAACACAATTTTATTGTCCTGATTCAGGATGAATGGTTTGAACACTAAGTAAATAAAAACAATAAATAAACATTGATAAAATAAGAATTGAAAAGAAAATCACTGATTCAAATATATAGAAACTAATATATTGTTCTAGATAAACACACAATAAACAATTATAAATAAACTTCAATGTTCAAACATAAGATATATGACTATTGCTGATGGTAGCTGTCATAGGTCTTCACAGCTACACAATAACGTAATAACTACAACAAGTGTTATAAAATATCAAAAGGCAACCTTTGTTGCCATAATTTAGAGCAGAATAGTTTGTGACATCATGCTCACTAAAGTAATTAGTGACATCATGCTAACTAAAGTAATTAGTGACATCATGCTCACTAAAGTAATTAGTGACATCACGCTCACTAAATAAAATAATCAGTGACATCATGTTCACTAAATAAAGTAATTAGTGACATCATGCTCACTAAATAAAGTAATTAGTGACATCATGCTCACTAAATAAAGTAATTAGTGACATCATGCTCACTAAATAAAGTAATTAGTGACATCATGCTCACTAAATAAAGTAATTAGTTACATCATGCTCACTAAATAAAGTAATTAGTGACATCATACTATAGTAAATAATGACATCATGTTCACTAAATAAAGTAATTAGTGACATCATACTATAGTAATTAGTGACATCATTATAGTAATTAGTAACATCATGCTCACTAAATAAAGTAATTAGTAACATCAGACTATAGTAATAAGTGACATGTTCACTAAATAAAGTAATTAGTGACATCATACTATAGTAATTAGTGACATCATTATAGTAATTAGTAACATCATGCTCACTAATTCTAATAATTAACGACATACTCACTAGTGACTTGAAGCTTATAAACCAGAACATGGTCAATGTAAAAGTATAGAGGCAACTGTTCTGCCACTTTGAATAAGAAACTGTTTATATGTTTTAAAAATAGTTGTAAAACAGGACAGGATAAAATAACAAAGTTCTATTCATGATATTTGTACAGGTAAAACTGTGTATATTTCAGTAATATTTGCTCAAGCAAAAATATGTACTTGAAATTATCAAACACACACTAAAAAAAACTAGTTGTTATTACTTAATTTAAAAATGTAAAAAAAAACTCATCAAAGAAAATGATATCAGAAACCAAAACGAATATTAGAAAATACCAGACTTTGTGCAGAAAATTCTAGACGATGTCAAACATGTAACTACACATACCCACAAACACTGTGTATGTAACTACACATACCCACATACTCTATGTAACTACACATACCCACAAGCACTTTGTAAAGCTGTACATTATTTACATTTCAAGAATAACAAAGCATTAAATAGTTAAAGAACAAAAAACCTGCCCAACACATATAAAACTCTTGAATAGTGAGTTAATAAAATATAATATATTACAATTATAAATAATGAAATTATTAGTTTAAGTTGTAATTTTAACAGTTAAATATAATAAAAATATAACTTATAGCAAGCTGAAATAATGAATTACTGTGTAATTATAATATCTGACTAAAAATATTTAGACAAGATTTTTTTTTCAACCAACTAGTTTGTGTGTTAAAAGTAATTTAACAACATGTTTTGTGGGAAATAATTCTGTATATAAAATTTGTGACTGCTAAAAGTATTAGCAGGCTTGAAACAAAAATGTATGTTGGTTTATTGTCTCTCATATAATAAATATTTTATCCACAAAAAGCAGCCAATATACTCATAGTATAACCAAATTAAAAAAATTAAAATATCACAAAATTACAAACAATTCACATGTGATTTTATAGTATCCAAGTATGACATAAAATAAAACAGCTAAAATGTACAACTGTTTTATTAGTTCTTGCACATATTAATTTCTTTATTTTTTACCAACACTATAAAGGGAATTTGCTTTTAAAGAAGTTAAAATAGTATATGGTTGAGGTAAAGACAATAGATTTGTTCCCTTGTCTGTAATTTTAGTTCTGTATTCTTTAAATAGTTTAAAATATAAACTGCAAAATCTTGTGTGGTCTATAACTTTAAACTTTGATATTCATTTGTTTCTAATATATACTTGCTGTATAATAAAGTAACAACTCATGAACTTGTAAACAGATCAATAAAATAGAGGTTAAGCTGTATGTTTATTTAATGCTGTTTAAGCTTAAATTTAGGGAACAGGGTGGTTGTATGGTAGAGCTTCAACTGCTAACCCAAAAGTTTTGGGTTCAATGTCCACCCAGGGAAACAAATGCAACTCTGCCTAATGCTGACCACAATATCTCCCTGTATGGTGAGGTCATTGTTAAAATTGAACTCTAGTTCATCTGCCCCATGTGCCTTGGGCATGAATAAAAAAAATGATGATGATGCATAAATATGTTTTTTTTGTCAGCTGCACAGATAAGTTAAATATGAAAATACAATATTTTCTCACACTACTGGTGTTCATGATGTTGTCATTAGTAAATATTATTGATCCAAAAATACATGTCTAAACTCCAGGATGATAATATAGAAGATAAGATGAAGATTAAACACCACATGAGTTTTTATCGAGCATGGCCAAGTGATCAGCTATCATGTAGCACTAATTAAATGATTGAAATCAAAGAAGTTGAGGAAAATACAAATTGTAACTGTTGTTCTGGAATGGAGTTTAAAAAATATGATGCTGTGGCCCCAAGTCTAAAAATATGTAGAAATAAATAAAAAATACAATTGTCAAATAACACATTGTTCACAAAACTGTAAAACCAAAATAGTTCACAAATACATGTATAAAATGTTAAATTGATATTCTAGGACAACATAACCGTATGTTAGATCAGTGGTTCTTAATCTGGGTTCTGTCAAACCCCAGAGGTTCAGTGAGTCTGTCTTAGGGGTTTGGCAGAGGTCCAGGCACACCCAACACCTATGATTCACAATAGGATTTTGTCAGTGGGGATAATAGAACTATTAAATACAATTCAGTGAATGCGCATATGAAGCTGGTGTGGTTCATTACCACTCAAAACATTTAAGAATCATACTGTTAGACATACACTAAACAATTGAAACTAACAAACTATCTCTAACAGAATATGGAGCTACTAACATAATCTGACTGTTGGGAGTAGAACTGGCCCATCAAACTATATGTGATATGACTGACAAATCTCTAACAAAATATGGAGCTACTAACACTAGTAACTTAAGTAACACAATCTGACTGTTGGAAATTATTTGTGATCTGACTGACTCGTTTTGATCTAAATGGGCTATATATATGTAAAATGTGGTAAATACATCAATTACAATTAAGAGCAGTTGAGAATACACAGCATACATTTTAATAACAATATATTGACACTAAATAATCTTATCTTCAGCTATCTTAAATTAATTTTGAATTAACCAAAAAAAACCAAGAAGTTTTAAACCGGGTAGTCCACGGTGCAGATGAAGTAGAGTTCACCAGTAGCTGTGATCTAGGCATATGAAGGAATGGAGTGGGCAGCATTATGCCCAGCCTCCTTTACTTTTGAGTCAGTAGTCATTGCGCTCTACAATCTAACTATACCAGTCATTGCGCTCTACAATCTAACTATTCCATTCTATAGATAACCAGGTCCATATGGATAACTTTTAAGGTGCTGCTAACACTCTGGCCGGACGTACAAGTGTCTAACAAAAAGGGGTTTCCTTGATAAATGTTTTAAATATAGAATTAACAGCCTAGAGAAGCTGAACATTCAGGATCTATATTCTATTACAGAAACATAAAAATTATCTTATTCTCAGTTCTAATTAGTAAGATTTTAAACAAATTACATCTAGTTGCATTTGATAAATATATAAAAATCAGTTGCGTCATTTCTAACAGGATAAAGTGATTGTCAATTTGCAATAGTGAACTAACATTTACTTTGCAATGAAAAGTTCAGTAAAAGTATGTAGGAGAGGGGATGGAAGGAGATGAGATAGTTTGAAACATGAATAGAGAATCACACCGTACATAGCTGCAAAATGTAATATAAATTGGATTTTATAAATATATGACAGGGTAGAATAATAATAATTCTAAGTTATATTTTACAGAATTCAAATGCTAAAAATAGTATGTTTAGTACATGTGTAAGTACTTTAAAATTAGAATATTTTGGACATAATCAGATCTAGAGGTAGAGAAACTAAAAAAATTTTTTTAATAAGAAATAGCTAGCTTTAGGGATAAGCATAAAAAGGGACTGTCCATAAATGTGTATCCAGGAACAGTTTGGACTTAGTGATGATACTTGAGAACATGTGGAGAAGTGTGAGGAAGAATTATTTTGTATATAAAAAATAAATAAATAATAAAACACACTTTCATCTTGTACCAAATTATGGTTTTAGAGGGGGAAGACAATAGCTTGGAGACATCATTTTAATAGAGGAGGGTGTGATGGGGGGTTTCATATATATTATATAATTATATCTTCTCTATATCTTTTCTATATTCTGATCTGTTACTATTCATACGACAACTATTATACTTGTGAGTAGGACGGGAATCACTCTTATGTTCCGCAGACACTAATTAACAAAAGTCAACCACTTCGTTTATGAAAAGAACACTAACTTTATTAACACACACTTATTTGCACAATATCAAAGAATACATCCGTCTCCTACAATTACTAACCCCCAACTAACGTTACTGTCGCGGTCTACGTCCTTGGTACATTGTCGCGTCATGCTCACGTCACATTCGCGCCACAAATATTGTATTCAACATGCGCACAATACTCTCGCACCAAATCGTCTACAGTCAAGTTCGCACCGTCCTTTGCAACCTCTACTAGTCGTCTAATTCTTTATATCTACGCTATGACAGAGGGGGTCTGGATTCTTGTGACTTGTGACTAGAGCGGGTAATAGAAGGTACAATGAGCAATAATAGCATAAGCTGGTTCGACAAGATGTCCTTTTTGATGATTTTTACGTCTTCCATACCTCCCATCATAAACGTTTGAGCCTTACAAAACTCCTATCACAAATCGTCAGACATTTGAACCATCCCTTACTCTCATCACAAATTGTCAGAGGTTTCAACCATCTCTTACTCTCATCACAAATTGTCAGAGGTTTCAACCATCTCTTACTCTCATCACAAATTGTCAGAGGTTTGAACCATCCCTTACTCCTTACAAATTGTCACCAAGTCACACACTTAAACATGTTTTCCGTGGTTTTGATAGCAAGGTATATGAAGCTTCTGTTTCCACTGAATACCATGACTACATCTGAGAACCTGGACTTGTACACTGAATCAGCCTTTAGTGCTGGCAGGAAGTAAATTACAGAGCAGCAGCCGTGCTTTCTCTGCAAAAAACAAAAAAAACAGAGAACAAATTACAAAACATGGCCAAAAAATACTTAAAAACTCTACATTAACTTTGAAATAAATGTTTTTAATTTATTTATATTTATTAATATTTTAGTTGCAACATTTTTTAAAAATAAAAGTCTTGTACAAATAAAAATTTTTTTATCTCAATCTATATTACCCAAAATATTGTATGAATTTATTCCGAAGTGATAGGTAAGGGTGCAATGGGCTTCCCTTGTTTAAAATATAAACTGCATACTGATTGATATTGACCTCATGGATGGAGCAAAATTGATTACATGTTAGAGTTGATTTTTTCTAGAAAGCAAGATATGTTCTCACTACAAACATACAAATATGATCGGGACAGAGGTTAAAGGAAACTTTTCAGCTACAATTTCAAATATTACTTCATACAAAGAGACAAAACTGCTTGTTGTGCAATCTGTTTACTGTTCTGTGTTGATTAAAAATGTGGACCTAACTTGATATGTTTTAAGTTGATATGTTTTACTGTGTTACTGAATTCTAATGTGATGTTAGTTGTGTAAGTGAAGTGTTATTCTTGTTCAATATTTAGTTTGTTTTAATATTTTGTAAATAAATATTACTTTGTTGAAGAATATTAATCAGGTGCTTTAATGTGTTATAGTTCTCTATATTGTTACCCCTGACATAAAGAGCCTAACATTTGTTGTACACCTTCAGTTCAGCTGTATTGGATATAAGTCAGGTTCCTAATACCAGATGGCTGCTATTGGAAATAAGTCAGGTTGGAAATAAATCAGGATCCTAATACTAGGTGGGTGCTAACTAGTATTCAGTGCAAGAGGGAAAATAAGGTATCTGTATCCCCTATCCCTAAATGTATTTTTAAAAAAGTTAAAAAAAAAGTCAATTTATTTTAGATGACTCTGGTAAATTAAATTTTGCTTTCAAACTAGTATTTAAATACTAAAAAGTGATATTGCGAACGACTGATTATTTCCTCTCTAAAAAAGAATTTTCAATAAGGTTTTTAAAAATGTTGAACAACTACTTTTTGGGCATTATCCACCATAACCAAAATTATTTTAGCATAACCAAAATTATTTTAGCATAACCAAAATTATTTTAGCATAACCAAAATTATTTTAGCATAACCACAATTATTTTAGCATAACCAAAATTATTTTAGCATAACCAAAATTATTTTAGCATAACCAAAATTATTTTAGCATAACCACAATTATTTTAGCATAACCAAAATTATTTTAGCATAACCAAAATTATTTTAGCAAACCAAAATTATTTTAGCATAACCAAAATTATTTTAGCATAACCACAATTATTTTAGCATAACCAAAATTATTTTAGCATAACCAAAATTATTTTAGCATAACCAAAATTATTTTAGCATAACCACAATTATTTTAGCATAACCAAAATTATTTTAGCATAACCACAATTATTTTAGCATAACCAAAATTATTTTAGCATAACCAAAATTATTTTAGCATAACCAAACTTTAAAACTGCAGGTCATAAGGTTAAGGTATGAGTGTTGTTCAAGCACTCAGCTATACAAAAAAAGAGGCCAATTATACAACTGGACGGTATACCAAACAAGCAACTTACAAGCAAAAGATTTCTCATCTGTGTGCCTCTTCAAGTGCAGCTTCAGGGAACAGCTCTGACTGAATGACATCCCACAAATGTCACACTTGTACAGCTTTTCTCCAGTGTGGGTTCTTTCATGAACTTGAAAGTTGGAGCGATGCGTGAATGTCATGCTGCAAAACTTGCACTCGTACGGTTTCTCTCCCGTGTGTTTGCGGTAATGCCTTTTAAGGTACTGATTCTCCCTGAAGCCTTTGCCACACTTGCCGCAGATGTAGGGCTTCTCCCCCGTGTGTATCCTCCTGTGGGAGACCAGCTTGTAGTGCTTGGTGAACTTCATGCTGCAGATGTCACAGGGGAACAGGAACTTCCACATGTTCCGGTACTCCGTCATCTCAAAGCTGGAGCTACTGGCGGGGATGCTAGCTAGGATGAGCTTGGGCTCTATCTCCTTCTTCTCATTGGTTGGAAATTCTAAAGGGAGAGCAACGCTGCTGGTTTTAGACAGAAAAGGGTCCTCTGCTGCATGTTTGCGCAGGTGCACTTTGAGGCTGACACTATGAGTAAATTCTTTATCACAGAAATCACACTTGAAGGGGCCTTCTTTTGCTATGTCTATGCTAGTATTATGGCTAACCCCTTGTGATATACTAGACTTATCATCAGCATGCAGACCAAACTTGAATAATTTACTATAATCAATTACACTTTTTTTTTCATGTAAACTGTTGTTTTGTTCCACATCAGAACTGAATGAGTATCCACCTAGTTTGTTAGATAAATGGCTGTAGGATGAGGACTCCGGAATCTCTGGATCAACGACTGACGCAAACGTAACTTTACAGGATGACAGTTCCTCATCATCACTCCACTCCTCTTCAGTTTCCTCAGATTCTAAAGGTTCTAGCTTAACATCGGATGTCATAGGAAGTTCTATCTCAGCCATGTTTCTTATAGATTCCATTTCAATGAACTAAGTTGACTTTTTTCTCAAGTGGAATATTTATCACATTTTTTTTCATATTACGAGCACCTGTACAAAAGAATAACAAAATTTTGATAAAAAATTAAACATAAAGGTAATAATCTATGTCTATAAGAAGCAATGTATGTGTGTGTGTGTCTGTTTGTTTGTTTGTCTGTCTTTTATGCATTACTACAACTTTCATCAGGCGCGATTTGTTTTTTCTCTATATACAGTATATAAAAAATAAAAGTCGAATGCAGTCCGACACCATTCATCCGAGTGCTATGAAACTTTAAGAAGTTGATAAGAACACTCCAGGGGAGGTTTCTGCAAATAATCTCTTTTAATTTTGCAAGGGCGGGATTTTCTCTTTATACGGTATGTAAAAAAAAAATAAGTCGGATGTGGCTTGACACAGTTCATCCGAGTGCCATGAAAGTTTGGGGAGCTGATGAGAATACTCCAGGGGAGGTTTCTGTCTTCTTCTTCTTCGTTCTCAATTTTCAGTGTTGGGAGGGATCGAGCCTTATCTGCCAGAGGGTTTGAACTCGAGACTTTTTTTTTTCAAAATTATCAACCATGAGCTTTGCCGACTTGACCATGCTTCCATCACAATTAAGGATTACGTGTCAACTGGTTATGCGCCATTGAGGCCATTGACTCCGATTTCAGCCTGCTTTTCTTTTTGGATTTGCTTCCATAGCCTTTGTCCAACCAAGAACAAACTACAACGCAGCAGTTGTTTAATTTTGGAGTTGTCTCTCCTAGAAGAGTGGCTGTCCCCAGCTGACGAGCCTCATCTGCCCGAGGGTTCGAACTCGAGACTTTTCGGTTTAGCAACCATGAGCTTTACCAACTCGACCACGCCGTCTGTAAAACAATCTTTTTTAAGTTTGCAAGAATGGCGCCCCTGGAGGGTGCGATTCTTCTCTATATAAGGTATATCAAAAAAATTTGTTGTGAGCGTCTAAGAACATAGGATTGGTAAAACCCTTCTCATATATCTCGTCAGACTTTCTTCTTTCTCCGCACAGGGATGGATATGCTAGTTATAAAAGAATGATGATTTAAATAACAATGAATCAATAAATGATTTATAAATGCAGTTAATGTAATAACAATTACTACTTGAGGAGCCTAATTTTTAAGGGGAAAAAAATGCCTTGCTCTGAATTCTATTCATTGTGAACTATGAATTGCCGCAGCCATAACTTCACTTATAAACTTATAAGTATAACCGCTTCACTTTCACCTCCAGTATTATAAACACAACCGAAACACACAAAAACATTAGGAAATCACTGCCTATTTCTTTATGAATTTTTGGTTTAGTTTTGAATATTGAATGTGTACTATTTATTTAGATTTAACTTTTTTCTTCTTGAAAATATGTTCTTCGTGTCAGTTAAGATTTTCTTGGCGATGGGTAAAGTAGAAACGCATAATTTCAGCATGAAATTAACTTACATTAACTCAAAATGACTCTAAGGCTTAAGCTATGACATATGCTGATAATTAAAGTCAATTTAAACTCATGGTGAACCCTTGACCATGTAGGGATTTTTCTCCCGCCCACAATCGCACACTATTTTATTGGTTCTGTGATGCTTATTTATAATATTTTTTTACCTTTTCTAATTAAAACACATTCATAAAATAATAGGCCGCCTTTGCGCGGTTCGTTCTGCGTTGCGCGTAATGCCACCTTTGCGCGATTTGCTCAGCGTTGGGCTTAATCTTTAATCTAGGTGGCACGCAATTTAAAAAAAAAATCACGACTGCCCGATTTTTTTTTTCGTGGTAGCAATTTAATGTTGACATAGATCTAGATCTAGTTTAAGTATATTTCAACACCTAAGAATCTAGATCTAGTCTAGTACTTTTAAAAAAAAACAGTAGTGGGTCAGATGATAGTCCTAGATTTAGCAGCAATCTAGCTAAATCAAACTGTCCTTTAGTAAAGTAAATTGTTTTTACAGCTATAAAGCATATAGCTAAGTCTATATTATTTATCCTATGTGAACTTAAAAAAAAATTTCAATTTGCTTGATGGAGGGAGGGAGGGGGGGGGGAGGAAGAGAGAAGTGAAGACACAGATGATCTCATGAACTTGTGTTCATTCTATGACGTATGCTTTAGGAAAAAAAAGAATCACACGTCATATTTTCAATATGAAATAAATAAAATGTAAAAAAAAAACACCAGTACCGGACATGTTGACTTTGGTTCGAACTCGGAACTCTGGGTCTATATACAACAGTCTACAGCCGGCACACTGTTGACTCTACCACATCGGATAGGTTGAAGAAGGAAAAAGTAAGCATTTTCAATCACAATCTTTAAAAATTGTTAGGTTACTGGTAGTTAACTAAATAAACACATGGCTGGCTAATGTCAATGCTATCCCTGTCCCTAACCCCAAACCAAAATTACTAACCATAAAGTTAGCCAAGATTGCAATACTACTACTAACAACCCAACACCCATTTTTTAAAGAAGATTCCTATTTTGGACACCGGTATCTATAATCATCCAAATGGAGTTTTACCATGTAGTCTGTAGGCATACACAACTAGATCTAGATTCTAGATCTAGTATACAGTATACACTGTGATCTAGAATCTAGGCCTACTAACTTAACTAACTAGAACTAACTTAAACTAGATCTAGATTTCTATCTAGAATCTATATACTATAAAGTTAGTATATACTATTAACTATATAGTATATAGATAGGGCCTATAGTATATAGATATCTTTATCTAGTTAGTTAAGTTAGTAGGCCTAGATTCTAGATCTAGATCTACTTAAAATAATTTTAGAAATGAGCCTAACAAAAAAAAAAAAAACTTTGCTTGACTCCCTCCTACTAGAATCTAGAATAGATCTAACAGTTGTAGCACAGTCACAGTGTATACATAGTACTAGTACTAAGTATAAGTAGTAACAGTTTAGTGTAAAGTTTATTATTTATTAGTCTTACTCAGTGTTTCTGTTTACATGACTGTAGTTTAGTGTTTAGTAAAGAAAGTTGGTAATCTATTGTTTTGGGTACGTAAAATCGCCCGCAATTTGTAATGTGAAAAACAGGTGACTCCTTAAATTTTAATATTTATTTCACATGTTGATGAGGATTTATATGAGGCTAAATATATTAATAAAGGCCAGAAATTAACTTTAAACAGCAGTGTCTGCAAGCAAGATTTGCTATATAAACAGCAGCCATTTGTAAAATAGAGTGACTTCCGCCTGAATCTCGCGCTATAAGTCTATAAAAATATAACTAACAAGATGGCTGCTATAGTAAATGACCATGGTTGCATCTGTTGGAAACATCGCTGGTGTTCATTTATTACTGAAAAGTTTTAATTCAATTGTTTAAAAACAGGTACATAAATGAAACAAGGAAACATTTTTGTAATTTTCAAAACATAAATCCTCCTCAAAATGTGAAATAATTATTAAAATGTAAGGAGTCACCTGTTTTTACAAGCTTTTATTTAACTCACTTCCTCTGTCGACAGTCTGTCGTCAGTCTAGATGGAAACGCAGGAGTTAAAATTCGGACAGTTCTACTTGACCGATACGATTCACAGTTGGCACGTGGGTCAAGACATGAAGACAATGCAATCTGAATCTAAATTTGACTTAATTGGATGCCTAATTAATTTTTTATGAATTAATTAAAATTTGGCCCGAATTAGTAGGCATGTCTAGCCAACCACACCACACGCGTCATCACCTTCAATAGCTGCGCCATCACGTAATGGCTGCGTTCAAAAACCATCGCGCCTACTGAACGTGATGTTCAGTAGGCGCGCAATGGTTTTTAGTCATGTAACTCTATTGTAAATAAAACATGTAAAGTACTGAAAAAAAATTCATAAAAAACGTTTTAATAACAAGCTTTTATGTAATGATGCACTAAAAAGTAGAAAATAAATTATAGACTACTATTTAAATAACTATAAAGAAAAGCGTGGGTGTCTTCCTTAACATTAGTAAAGGTATCCAATAGATACTAAAGTCTAAAGTGACCCACGCTTTTCTTTATTTATAGTTATTTAAATAGGCCTAGATCTAGATCTAGTAGTCTATAATTTATTTTCTACTTTTTAGTGCATCATTACATAAAAGCTTGTTATTAAAACGTTTTTTATGAATTTTTTTTACAATACTAGTCGCGGGCGATTTTACGTAACCAAAACGATAGATTACCAGATCTAGATCTAGATCTAGAATCTAGATCTAAATCAAATCTAGATCTAGATACCAGTGAGATTTCATCTCTAATAAAATTCAACACCTGGAAGTGCTACTGATTTAATTTTTACTTTTTCTAGATCTAGAATCTAGATTCTAAATCTAGAGATTTCGATTATTTATTTACAACTTGATTCTAGACTTACTTACTAGATCTAGATCTATACTTAGATCTAGACTTCTAGATCTTGATCTAGAGATCTATTTATTTATAATATACGTAGTGTAGGACCGTAAATAATGTGAAACGAAAACAGCAACACTTCCGTATTGTATCGCCTTTTTTAGTGTGAGAGTGTCATGAAAAATTAATATAATTATCAGATTCCCAGGTAATTTATTTTTTGACTCGAGCTTGGATTATGGAAAACCTCAGAAGTTTACAACTTAAGCAACTACTTAGTAGTTAATCATACAATAAATGTGTCTAATCTTCAGACCAGTTCACTGTTTATCTATATCATTAATTAATTAAAGTGTTCGATGTAATGTTTGTTTCTGGCTGTTTGATGTAATGTTTGTCTGTTTCTGGCTGTTTGATGTAATGTTTGTCTGTTTCTGGCTGTTTGATGTAATGTTTGTCTGTTTCTGGCTGTTTGATGTAATGTTTGTCTGTTTCTGGCTGTTTGATGTAATGTTAGTCTGTCTTTGTGGCTGTTTGATGTAATGTTAGTTTATCATTCTGGCTGCATTATCATTTAGATGATACGCGTATCTTGATTTGAAATTATTTAGGTGCTGACAAAATCAATCTACTTATTTTTATTTAAAATACGTTATGCTTGGTAAATTTCGCCAAATACAAGTGTGAAGCAGGTGAAACAGTAATTGGTTTGTAGTCAAAGTCGACAACAGTGCACAATGATATGGCGGGTAACATCTGGGCCGTTTTAAGGCCGTATAGGCACATTCGGTATCGCCCTTCAGGTCTGGGAGAAGCTTTTACTGATGAGATTCTGTTGTGCTCAAAATCTTATGCGGGGAAAAACATTGGTGGCTGAAACGATTAGAGCATAAATAGGAGCGGGGAGAGGTGGGGGGGGGGGGGGGGGGGGGGAGAGGGAGCTCGTAAAAACCTGTCCGAATGTATATATTACATTCTGAATAATGATGTCCTTCTATTTTCGGAACGATTTCTGTAGGTGGAATTTCTGTTTCGTAATTCAGACGCATAAAACATCAACTGAGGTTACTATATATATATACATATATATATATATATATATATATATATATATATATATATATATATATATATATATATATATATATATATATATAAGGGTTTGGTGAGCAATTTTTATTTATAAATTTTGTTGTAGACAAGAAATTAAAACTGTACACATTTATTTTTGGATAGGGAAATTTATTTTTCAGAAATTGTTTCATCAACAATGCCTTTAATGACTGATTTAAATTCTTTATATTCACTCGCACGCTCCATTTCTTACGAAAGAGACCTGGGTAGCTGCTATCTTGCCGCAGTTTGACATCTTCAGAGCGCAGCTGTTAGCGTATGTCTTGCCGTCGCTTCCGCACACTTGAATCCGAAGCGTCTCGCATTCCATATTTTGGCAATTGTTCTTGCAACGTCCTGTGTGATTGAGGCGGATGTTTAGGTCAGGTTTCAGACAACTAACGACTTCCATCTCGCAGATGTTGGTGTACGTGCCCCCATCAGAAGCACAGACTGGCTCCTGTTCCTTGGTGCAAGCTAAGTCACACTTGCATTTACCCAGGTACTCCACCTGTACAGGAGTCTGGTGTATCCTGTAGCAGTTCGAGTTCTCTAGAACGCACTCACTGGCGTATGTCTTACCGTCGGTGCCACATACTGGCGTGCCCCACTCGTCACATGGCTTTATGCAGTCCTCGCTAGTCATACACCTGGACCTGTACTTCACGGTGATCTGGTTCTCGACACTGTTGTGGCAGTTTTTGAATCTAAGGGTACAGAGGTTTTCGTAGGTTTTTCCGTCACTGCCACACACCGGGTCCTTCGCACTAGACGCACACCTATTTGAACAGCTCGTGTCTACATCGGTCTTTCCGTAAGCTGTTTGACATATCAATGAGTTCAAGAGTCAATAAGACATCGATATTCTTATAAACTTTACCAAGCATGTAGGATAGCTTGATAACAAATTAAAATACCAGGTACATACTCCAAATCTCTATCCTCAACTAAACTTCACACCGTTAAAAAAATAGTCAGAGATTTACTTTAAACTGTCCAGCAGCTTATTTTCCACACATTAATATGAATACATTTTAATTTAAATGCATGCGTGGAGGTCTATTTTTGTTACTTTCTGGACATGTACTACATTCATTGTATCAGATTATCAGGGGAAGCGGATGACAGAATAAGCTATATATAAAGTAAATTGTACCGCTTTACATAATCATAGAGCGATTTTATACCAACTAGCTAAGGCAATGGGCTTTGAACTTTAAGGCTTAAAGTCGACATGCCACGGCGTTTACACTTGCGAGAAAAATAACAATACCCCAAACTTGTAAATTACGAGAATGTGACCTACTTAGGTCTGGTAATGTTTATTTTTACATTTTGATTTAATACCTTATATGGTCTGTGGTACAATGACCGGTTTTTTCCGCTGTCTTACTAAGAGAGTCTTAGACTCAGAGATTTTCCATCAAGAAATGATTGATTGATTCAGACCAGATGACCATCCCAACCAATGGCCTTATGATTTGAAGGTGACCTTCCATGTTGCCTAAGTCTATAAATAGACTGCGACAGGCGTCTCGAGGCAGTTCATTGACCAAACGTCGTTGAGAGACATAAGCCCTGTGTGTTGCCGTGTAGTACTAAGTTGTTTAAGTAGCATATTATTATATTACTTGTGGTTAAGTAATTCTTTATGCTTATAGCAGCGTTGTGTAAACTGTGGTGATTTTTCTGAAGTGTTAAAATCTGTGATAGTGTATCATATTATTATTTCCCACACATTGTAAGTTGGGTTTTGTTCATTCTGTAAATCTATTTTATTCCTGTATAAATCTAGTGTTCTGCTACGACTTTGTACACTCATTGCAAGTTATATGCAGATTAAATGTATTGTTGGCATCAGTAGTTTCTCTAGTGTTTCCCCTAGACATCAATTACGAGTCCTAGCGAACTAGTGTGTTAACTTTCTTTTATTTTGGCTTGTCGCCATCTGTGTGTAATCAGTTAAACGAATCCGGGAGCGTTCAACAACTATCTGGCGGATAGATTGGTGTCCGTTACAAGAATTATAATACATAATTAGTAATGCACAACTTATCACAAAAAAGCTACAAAAATATTAGCTGTGTTGACTAACGTCCAATACTTACAAGCACATATTACCAAGACAAGGAACAATGATGAGTTCATGTTTGCAATCAAAAGAAAAACTTGTGAAAAATTTCATAGTTAGAACAAATTTTATTCTAAAAAACTCGCTTGCCTAACTAGCCAAACTTGGCTGCATGTATACTGTAATAATATTGTATTAATTCGCATAGTATAATTGAAGTCAACCGTTAACAACGAAATATCTTTAACATTTCAATAAAAGATTAGTTATTCATACGATAAATTAAGATGCACACATTAAAACATGACTCATACACCGAGCCTATTTCAAGGTGGCCCCAGCATGCTTTAAATAGATTAGCCGTACCTTACCTGATACAATACAAGCTGGCTCTATAAAAATGTCTTTGAAATATTACTGCTATTATTTTTAGCCCTAGCCTCTCACCCAAATGCTGTTACTCATGTAACTTAGCTACGCCCACCGCAACTAGGTAATGCTTGTTTGATACAATCAATATATTTATTAATTTTTCTAAACGTTTCGTCTTTAGCGGTTCTGAAAAAAAAATGCAGGTAGCATAATTATTAGTCTTCCTAAGTTATAGGGAAAATAAAAACCGGGAGTGATCTTCCATAAACTTTCTCGAATATTCTTTTTTATTACTGCGGGGGATGGCAACTCAGGATATAGATAATATTTTTAATCCATTTTTGATTTCTTAAACTTTTGAAAATATAATATGATCTCGTAGAAAAAAGAATTGCGCACCAAGTGAGCGCTAAACAAAATGTGTATGAAAGTGCGGAATATTTTAGTACTTTATAAATTCACACGCGTTTTTTTTTTTAGAAATCGAAAATAGCATAAATTACTACTTCCGATCAACGGAAATAACTCAAATTTTGACAGAAAGCAGAGGATTAGTTTTACTTACATGAAATGTCATTTATCTATCTGAAACAGTACTCAAATTATAGGCTTTTGAAAAATTAAAAGAAAGATAAGTTCCACTTCCGTTTGTTTGAATTCGCTGAAAAGTTGATACGAAACTTTAAATTTGATATAATACTTATATATGGAATTTCATCAACCTAGCTGTAACGGTACTGAAGTTTTCGTGTTTACAGACATACAAGCAAACACACACAGACACACACACACACAGACATACGGACACAACTGCTAAACTATGTTTTTCCGACTCAGGGAGGTATAAAACTTCTAGATCTTTAAAAATCTCGACTTTTTTTTTTGCACGATTACAATATTCCCTCTATAGGCCTACTTCGTATACGAGAAAGTAAAATTAATTGAATACCTTGTATTAGTTGAGTTTGTTATTTGAGTTGTCTGTAAATAATGGATTGTTGAACTGTGCCGGATTGGACATCTTCAAGGTAGAAAGACTTGATGTGTTCTCGAGATTAACAATAACAGTCGGAGTTCTACGTTATGTGTTCTTTTTGACGCATAGTTTTGGCTTTAGTTAGGCTACATTAAAGCTACACGTTTGTTTATTTGTAGCACATTTAGCTTTGTCTGGCTACATTCAACTATTTGTTGGTCTATTTAGAATATTTAGACTGAGCTAGGCTACATTAGGGTATACGTTGGTCTATTTGTAGCATATTTAGCTAGAGCTAGATTACATTAAGTTATATTTTTGGTCTATTTGTAGCATATTTAGCTAGAGCTAGATTACATTAAGCTATATTTTCGGTCTATTTGTAGCATATTTAGTTAGAGCTAGGTTACATTACGCTATACAATGCTCATTCATTGAACAGCATCCCTTTATCAGGCTTGTTGGATATTTACATTTTTCTCTCATACTTTAACGTCCATTTCATACACTGATGTTACAGGTAAACCTGCCGAATGTTTTAATTGTGTTTTCCCGCAACAATTTTAATGTTTTAATTGTATGTGTTTTCCCGCAACAATTTTAATGTTTTAATTGTGTGTGTTTTCCCGCAACAACTTTAATGTTTTAATTGTGTGTGTTTTCCCGCAACAATTTTAATGTTTTAATTTTGTGTGTTTTCCCGCAACAATTTTCATACCATGCACGTCACCCATCGCCAAAGTGTTTGATCGGTTCTTCCCTTCTTCTACTGCACTTGCCAAACAACTTATTTCATCCGCAATATGATCTGTAATGGGCAGGTTACCTGTCTGAACAAAACTCTGCATAGAGGTAAAATGAATACGAAAATTTTGTTGACGAAATTAATGTGAGATGACATAGTAACATAGTGCCAAAATATCAAATGAGTTTGTTAAACTAAAGACTGAAGTATTAGTCATCTTTTTTTCATATTTCGTTGAATACGACACAGTAGGATAATATGGTTTTATTAAACTCTTCAGTTGTTTTGTATTTTTGCTTTAAGTCTTACTTCTGGTCGTTTGTGTGGAGGTATGTATGTGTATCTGTATGTTAGTGTGGAGGTATGTATGTATGTATGTGTGTCTGCATGTTAGTATGGAGGTATGTATGTATGAATGTGTGTCTGTATGTTAGTATGGAGGTATGTATGTATGAATGTGTGTCTGTATGTTAGTGTGGAGGTATGTATGTATGAATGTGTGTCTGTAGGTTAATATGGAGGTATGTATGTATGTGTGTCTGTATGTTTGTATTGAGGTATTAAGTGTCAGTAAGTTTGTGTGAAGTTATGTATGTATGTGTGACTATATGTTTGTGTGAAGTTATGTGTGTATGTTAGTATGTTTAAGTGGAGGTATGCATGTGTTCTGTAGTGTGAAGGTATGTATGTGAAAAGTTATGTATGTATATTTGTGTTGAGGTATGTATGTATGTGTATCTGTATGTTATCTGTATGTTAGTGTGGAGGTATGTATGTGAAAATTTATGTGTTTGTGTTTGTATATTTGTGTTGAGGTATGTATGTACGTGTATGTATATCTGTGTGTTAGTGTGGAGGTATGTATGAGTCTCTGTATGTTTGTGTGGAAGTACGTATGTAAGTCAGTATGTTTGTGTGGAGGTACGTATGTAAGTCAGTATGTTTGTGTGGAGGTACGTATGTATGTATGTATGGCAGTCGGTATGTTTTAGTGAACACATATTGAATTCAATTATAAATATGTAAAATACCAGAACAGCTCATGTAGATGTCTACCCGCGGATACTTCTCTTACAACCTTATGCAACAGATGCTATATGTTAATTAAATTATCTAACCACACGTTCAGAAGTATAGCTTCAGTAACACTGAATTGTATTATCGTTAGGCCTAATAAATTACACATAGGATTAGAGCCATAATCCTTAAAAATCCGCATTGAACTCATTCTATACTAGTTCATTAATTACTTAAAATTACAAATATAAATGGAAATACATAGCGAGGTGGATATTGGACACATATTTAATTAAAACTCCAATAGAATTACCGAACAACAGTTCGAGATTTACATACACTATTCTTTTCCCTAATACTGATGTTGTAATTCAATTATTTAGAAATGTATTGAAATAACAATCGGTTTGTTCTAAAAAAATCAATAGATGACGTTGTCGAAAGCAAGAACTAGAAATATAATAGTACAGAAGCGCTAGATTTGTACCAGTTATGTGCCTGAATTGTACCCGTTATGTCCCTGATTTGTACCTGTTATGTGCCTGATTTGTACCCGTTATTTGCCTGATTTGTACTCGTTATGTGCCTGATTTGTACCCGTTATTTGCCTGATTTATACCCGTTATTTGCCTGATTTGTACTCGTTATGTGCCTGATTTGTACCCATTATGTGCCTGATTTGTACCCGTTATTTGCCTGATTTGTACCCGTTATTTGCCTGATTTGTACCCGTTATGTGCCTGATTTGTACCCGTTATTTGCCTGATTTGTACCCATTATTTGCGTGATTTGTACCCGTTATTTGCCTGATTTGTACCCGTTATTTGCCTGATTTGTACCCGTTATTTGCCTGATTTGTACCCATTATTTGCGTGATTTGTACCCGTTATGTGCCTGATTTGTACCCGTTATTTGCCTGATTTGTACCTGTTATGTGTCTGACTTTAACCTTTTATGTGGCTGATTCCTACGTGGCTCTTGAGAGTCAAAGAGCTGTAGTAGCAAATCTATGGACTCAGTCTGTTATAGACATCTCTCTCCAATTGAATCTGTCTCATTAGAACTAGATTTTCTAAATTTAGTTCGTTTATTTCATTTTATCTCAACAATTACAAAAGTACAAGTAGGCAAAGTACCCATTCAAAATCCACGGTCCTTGATGCAGGTGAAGTAGAGTTACGTTTTTCCAAGAACTCGGGAAAGTAAGAGTTGGATCAACGTCGTCTGCGAGGCCACAACATTTTGTAAGGCGAAGATCGATTAGGTGTAGACGGGGGTGGGTTAAGTATCAATCAGAGCTGGGCGGATTCAGAGAAATTGTACTGACTTGAACCCGCATTCAAACTCGAGACTTTTGGCTCAGCAGTCGAGCTCATATAGGCTTTTATATATATATATATATATATATATATATATATATATATATATATATATATATATATATATATATATATGGGTACGTCATGTATTATATTCACCATGTAATTTGATTGGCTCCTGAGTCGAGACACGCCTTTAAATCCACAACATTACCGATAACGAAAAGCATTTGACTGGTTGAAATGACGCCATTTGGTAAGTCTACACTGCTAGCAAGTTTTCGATTGCTTTTGTCTTTCTTATATTGATTACATTTTGTTGATACGCAGGTAGTAGTGTAAAAGAACTACACTGTTTTTTTTAGACGATTCACTTTGTTTAAAATCTCGGTTGAGATATTTTAAAGCACATAATATAGTGGTGCATTTGCTGTCTCATTACAAAGTCGTCGTGTATAGGCTTACGACAAGTTTGAGAAAAAAAAATCAGGTAGATAGTGAGTGAAATGTCTTTATTATCGTGTGAAGGCTTACGACAAGTTTGAGAAAAAAAAATCAGGTAGATAGTGAGTGAAATGTCTTTATTATCGTGTGAAGGCTTACGACAAGTTTGAGAAAAAAAATCAGGTAGATAGTGAGTGAAATGTCTTTATTATCGTGTGAAGGCTTACGACAAGTATGAGAAAACAAATCAGGTAGATAGTGAGTGAAATGTCTTTATTCTGTTTCGGGCCACACAAACGTGTCATACGAAGAACGTTGGAGACACCCAGTTAAATAAAATCTTGTAACAAACGTTTTTAATTAGATTGGAGCGTTTTTTTTTTTAAATTGTGCCTTTAAAAAACGTTTATAGTGTAATATTCATTTATCATTATGTATGTATAGTGAACAAAGTTTCAGAAAAAAAAATGTGCTTTTCCATCTTTTGTGTGCAACGTGTAACGTGTCACTAGCAACGTGTCACCAGTATGGTTGCATTGTATTTATCTATTAGATCAGTGGTTCCCAACCTTTTTCGAGTGGCGACCCCCTTTTATAAAAAAGTAAGTGACCCGCGACCCCCATAGAATTAAAAAACCGAAATTAGTATGGACATTAATAAGCACTAAAATAAGATTTTCTAGTAGACTTTCAATATGAACTACTATTGATAACTGTTTTACTAGCATTAGTAAAATTGCATACTATTCACTAAACCTTCGTGGTTAAGTTTTTAATTAAAACAAATTTTTGTTAACGCCAAACTATGTCATTATAATTATCTTAATTTTGTTTTTAATCGAAGAATAGTGTTGAATATATATATTTTCGAAAAGTCAATCAATTTTACGTGTGGGTATGAATGGTGAATACTACACCAAAATTGTGTCTGCAGTTTTTCATCTTACTCGGAATCATTCTGCAAATCAAAGAATTCATCTTGTAATTCATCGGAATGCTGGCAACATCAAGGGAAGAAGAGAATGGGTAATGCGTCAATGCAGATTCTTTTTTCAGCTCAGAGAAATAGCGATGCAGTTCGTTTTCAAGAGATTCAAGATGCCCAGAAATCGCTTCTTTCAATTTTTAATTATCTTACAATCAGATTCATCTACCACTCCGCAGAGTTTCACAAATTTACAATATTTCCAAGATTTATTTTCTTTACCGATTTTGCAGTTTTGATAAAAATGCCCCGAGATTATCATGGAAAGTTATAATATTCGTTCGTTTTCCCTGAAGCTTCAGGTTAAGCTTATCTTGATGTTCAAACACATCTGCTAGGTATGATACTCTCTCCAACCACTCTATGTCGTTTTAAGTATACCAAAAAGTCTTGTTTCCTTTGCACTTTCAAGAACAATTTGATTTCAGATTTCAATTCAAAAACACATTTTACAACATTTCGTCTGTAGTGTAGAAGAGCAGAACCTCGTGATCTTTATTCATGTCTTTGCTTAGTTCTTTGAAGGCTCCAGATTTTATATAATTTACGACTTATACTAGCAATGGACTCTTGATGTCGATTGGTTAGGGCAGTGGTTAGGGAGCTAAATCTTTTCTGTTTTCTGAAAGCCCGATTTTGACCTAAACATACATGGCGCACCATCCGTATAAACCCCCACAGCAGTTTTAACCCATTTTAATCACCCGGTTTCAAAAAACGTGTTTATTTTCTACATGCTATCTTCACAAAAGAGCAACTCTTCTTTGCAATCATCCGCATGAATATAGACACAGACCAGCAACTGCGAACACGAACTCACGTCTGTTGATTTATCAACTTGAAAAGCAAACAATGGTGAAAGCTTAATTTCAATAAAAATGTGTTATTTAACATTTACGTACATGCAGAGTTTGATATTTTCTCCTATTGTCTTTTTTTTTTATTTATTGGCATTTTGTATCGCGACTTCATTTGATGCTTGCACTAATGCTGGTGAAAACTTCCTGTTCGATTAAGTCTCTGGCGTTTGCAACTAGCTTCTTACCGACGAAAGAACTCCATATATTTTTTGGTGTGCTCCGAACGACTCGTCTCAAATGGCGTTTTAGTTTTGAAGATTTCATAGATTCGTGACTGAGAACAACTTTGTACAGTATCCCCCCCCCCCCCACGCCACCTTAATGAAATTGGAAATTTAAGTTTTCCTGCCCCCTCTAAGAATGTATCCCCACCCCGGGGGAAAATGTGTGAAGCAAACGCTGACCTTTACTTTATCTAACAGTATCACAAAACACATTGATTTTTTTCTTGTGTTATATATATATATATATATATATATATATATATATATATATATATATATATATATATTATTTTAATTAATCTATATGGTTTTCTTTTCCTATACTTTCTAATATTGATATTGTTTGTTTTATGGCTGTTTTTTTATTGTAATTAGTCTCTTATTATAACAAAATTTATACGCATTGAAGATTGGTGTAAAACACAGGCAACTTTCTTTAGAAATCGGACGCTTGGATTAAAAGTAAACAAACTAATTTAAAGTAGTTAGTTAAGTGGGATCAAATGGGAAAGATAGCATAATATAAAAACTTTTACAAATGAAACTGTACTTTTACAATGAATTTCTTTGTCTGCATTTTTTTCGTTTGCCCATTTTTATATTTCGTATTCACCTTTACAAGTTTCTGATTCTTTCGGGGGGGGGGGGGGGGGTTGTAACTGCCCTAGATACATGTTATGTTTCTTGTATTCTAGTCTTGTATTAGGATATTTTGGAGTAGTTTAAAATCAGTATTTGAATTAAAAATGAGTTAAAGCAGAAATCCCAACCCCTACAAAAATGTATTTCTATCTTTCAGCTACCCTGGGTGTTCACTTGTTACAAGCAGCATGGGTACACACCGGCTGATTCTATTTTTAGCTGCGGCTGTAGCAGCTGTGCTGTGCTGCGAATACTCCGACTGGTCAGTCAGCTTTAGCAAACGAAAAGGTCTTTCTCGGTGTGATCGACTTTACGATAATATCGTTGGGTTCAGCAGAATCGGCTTACGGAACTGGTACCATGACGACACGGACCGGCTGCAGAAAGTCAAATGCTGTAAGTGGTCGAAGCGCTGGATCGATTCAGGAATCGTTGTTCGTTACATTCCTTGGGCTGATGAACTCAAACCTGCCTTTACGTGGGCCAAATGTCCGAATGGGTACTTTCTTCACGGGCTAAAGAGGAACGGAAAGCATAAGCTTAGCAGTATTACCTATGGACGATGTACTAAGCCGAGTGACCATCCGTATCATTATGGGAGATGTTACACTGTAAAAATAGATACTTGCTTCAACAAAAGGAACCTGTGTGCTTGTGATGCAGGGACTTACATGACCGGTATCTACAAGTCGTACTGTGATGAGCTGCACTGTTTGGAGGAAATCAAATGCTGTAGGATGGCAGATGAGCCAGAGGCCTTGACCGCTGAACACGATCTAACCAGACGCATGATGGATTTAACCCTCCATCGCACGGGAGAATTAGCCGCCATGTTGGGGTACAAAAATTGTAAAAGCTGTGTGGCGCAAAATCCAGGGGAAGATTTCCACGCCAGGGGTACCCGATGGTACGCCGATGACGAGTATTGCAAAGATCGGGATCTGGTAAAAGACCTGCTCGTCTTGAACTACACGGACTGGCATTATGAAATACACAGCATGAGCTACGGGAACTTTGTTACACAGGAGCTCCCGGCAGAAATACTCAGCACGGGGTACATCATCAACAACGAGAACACGCCCAAGACTGTGACCCTCAACTTCTCGACAACAGTCACCCGGCAAGTGACCAACACAAAGAACAAATTTAAGGAGATGTGGAAGCTGGGGATCTATCTGAAGTACACACCCCCGCCTGCCGGACCGAACAAAAACACCGCTTCGTACACGTTCCGGGATGAGGCCTTCACGGAGTTTACCGATGAAACAAAAAGCAGACAGAGCAAGGAGTTCCCTGTCGTGTCGACCTGGACGTTGAAGCCCCACAGCGCGGCTAGGTGGGAACGTGTTTTATCCAAAACTCGAACCCTACTCCCGTACACCGCGACGATCCTGGCCAAGTTTAGTATAAAAATACAAGGACTGCTTGATGGGGAAGGAAAAAACTTCCATGAATTGTTCCAACCACCACATATATTAGTACCCTTTACAGTTTACTATCAATTCGGTAATTCCTCCACGCCTTTCTACAGGGCACTGAAGCGCGAGTACGATTCCAACGCTTCTCCCTGGATGTGGAGAAAAATGGATAAAAAAAAATCAGCTGCAAAAAAATTAATACCACAGCTGGCCGAAGAGCAATTGTACCTCTTCAATCTGAGTGGAGAATTTGATGACATCGTTGGCAAACATCTTAGTGTGCGTTGGCTCGAGGTACCCTTGCAAAATGCGAAAAATATGTTTGAGAATGGTCAGTTTCCTCCAATGAATATCACCGCGACTTAAGACAAAACCGACAGTGAAAAACTAAAAAAATTAAAATTCTAAATTTCTACTAGATGCCTCAATTAAATAGTCATATCAAGATTATAAAGAAAATGTATTTCGGTTGTTTCTAAATTAAATGTAACGTCAACGAATAATTGTGACAAATTAAAACTCTTTTCCTCTCATTGTAGATGTGAATAGTTTTGTTGTTTTGTTTGTAGTTCCGTCTGTGGTGAATGTAGCAGTTTAACTTATTCTATTATTAAAATCACAAATATTAAATATAGTGTATACTGATTTGAAACTTTTAATTTTATCATGTCAGAAAATTAGCAGTAAATCTTCTGTTATAAAAAAAAAAAAACACAATGAAAGCTACTAGAAAAACTTCTAAAAGTAACTTGGACAAATACTTAGGTATCAAACAGTTCACGCCCAATTTTATTTCGGAACCAAAATAAACATTTCAGAGCCTATTCGGAGTTGCCAGGGGTATTAGAAGGCTATCTCGTTCAAACGTACGTTGTTTATCTAACAGTTGGCACTTTGATATTCTGTCAATCGTCCACTGATGAAGTCACCCTAGCTATATCCACGTCAGTAAATTCTGTCAATCGTCCACTGTCTGATAAAGTCACCCTAGCTATATCCATGTCAGTAAATTCTGTCAATCGTCCACAGTGTGATGAAGTCACCCTAGCTATATCCACGTCAGTAAATTCTGTCAATCGTCCACAGTCTGATGAAGTCACCCTAGCTATATCCATGTCAGTAAATTCTGTCAATCGTCCACTGTCTGATGAAGTCACCCTAGCTATATCCATGTCAGTAAATTCTGTCAATCGTCCACAGTCTGATGAAGTCACCCTAGCTATATCCATGTCAGTAAATTCTGTCAATCGTCCAATGTCTGATGAAGTCACCCTAGCTATATACACGTCAGAAATCCAAATAAAGATACGGGGAGGTGTTGGGGTAGAGAGACCACCCGCCCCACCCTGGCCTGTGTTTCATAAACTCCGTTATAAAATATTTAGAAAAATTACAATTCTTCTAGGACTCATATCCACATATACGATACACACACTTTACTGACATTTAAAACGTAACATGTACTAATGTTTCTAGCGTATTAATAAAGAAGACTTCTGAACGAGTTATATTTTTCGTAGTAAAATTTATCATGAGGAATTTCAACAGTTATAAACTACTTCTATACAGAACACGACTGGACTTATGAAAATGTTACACTAGCTGCACAAACGAATGGGGTCTTGAGTCTTAATTCAGTCTTAATTTGGCTTGAGCAAACCGTTAGTGTTGAGGTTTCCTATACTGTTTGTGGAAGTAAAGGGGGAGCGGTGGTATTGTCTGCCTTGTATGGACGTAAGAAATCTACTGCATTCAAATGTATTACACATTTTTTCAAGGCTCATTTTAACGTTCATTTAGTTTTCGATAATTTCATATGGATAACTTCAAAAGGTCAAGTCGACTTTTAATCAAGGTACATCTATAAATTATTGCATTTCAGTTGAATGGAGGTAAGCTATAAAAAGTGCGATACATCTTCTACATGAACATATCAATCACAAATGTCTCTGTTCCATTGTTCAAGTTCTGCGGCCTAGAGTTACGTTTTGTGAAGGCGGCCTAGATTTACGTTTTGTGAAGGCGGCCTAGATTTACGTTTTGTGAAATCGGCCTAGAGTTACGTTTTCTGAAGGCGGCCTAGAGTTACGTTTTGTGAAGGCGGCCTAGAGTTACGTTTTGTGAAGGCGGCCTAGAGTTACGTTTTGTGAAGTCGGCCTAGATTTACGTTTTGTGAAGGCGGTCTAGAGTTACGTTTTGTGAAGGCGGTCTAGAGTTACGTTTTGTGAAGGCGGTCTAGAGTTACGTTTTGTGAAGGCGGTCTAGAGTTACGTTTTGTGAAGGCGGTCTAGAGTTACGTTTTGTGAAGGCGGTCTAGAGTTACGTTTTGTGAAGGCGGCCTAGAGTTACGTTTTGTGAAGGCGGTCTAGAAATTTGTGAAGGCGGCCTAGAGTTAAGTTTTGTGAAGTTGGCCTAGAGTTACGTTTTGTGAAGGCGCTCACATGGAAATAAAAGAGTATTAATTTGAATGCACCTTAGAAACATTAACTTATTGGTAATCTAAAGGTAAATTTTAGTTCAAAGCTAAAGGTCTGGTTCAATGTTTCCTAGAGTCACCACAAAAAATGTGCTTTTTGCACTTTCAATAAATGATTAATGTGTTAAATGAATTTAAAATACAAAGTGAGGCTCTCGACAAGGGGATAGGGGGTGGTACCGTGACATCAATCTGCTAACTTTAGAGAAAACAATTTTACATAGAGTTTTCACTAGGGGGAAGGATGACACCAATTGCAGCTCTCTCTCTCTCTCTCTCTCTCTCTCTCTCTCTCTCTCTCTCTATATATATATATATATATATATATATATATATATATATATATATATATCATGGGGTGGAGGAGGGGGTTGACACTATGAGGTGTCGCAGGTCGGGTGACACAAGACATAGCGAGGCCACAGGTGTAGGAGTGGATAAAAAAATAAAAGTCTGTCTCATAGAATTTTATGTCATAGAATGTTCCTTGGAATACAATCACTTACTATAATCCAAATTCACTGTTATACAAACGGCTCAGCATGAAAGAGTGAAAACACATTATAGTTTTGAAAAATAAATAATTTCTTTCATAATATAAATTTTGTAGCTATTTATTAATTTATAACATCTTTTTGTAGCAACTTGTTGTTAATTAAAATTAATCAATATTTACTGAAGTTATATGATGAAACTATTGATTTTCCATGCCATTGTTCGGCTCGTTCCGGTATTAGCTTTGCCATTAGTTACAGATGGCATACATCACTGGGAACAACTCTTCTCTAAACTCTTCACGGGTTACCTCGCTTAATTAACATTTTAGCAAACCTACCGCTGGCTAACAACAGCCGGTCGTCAAAGTAGTGAGTTGAAGGAAAGTTGCGAGTTCCCAACCGGGGTTTGATCCCGTCATAAGTCCCCGGGCTCATACAGCTCTCCTACCTGGACATAGAGCTAGACATTCTCGCTGAAACACATGAGCTCTACTTCATCTGCTCTAATCTATATATCTATTTATATAATTCTCTTCTTGGAGACGCTAGAAAACAAGCTGTAAGCGCGCTCCCTACCACCCCACCCCTACATGGTCTGGTGAGTTGTGTATCACGCTAAATGTTTACAATCGTAGAGCCGGGTTTAGTGACGGCTATTAGGGGCAGATAATTTAGATTGAAACGATTTTAAACTTAGGGGAGGTAACTAAGAAGAGTTTACTTTCACGGGGGGGGGGGGGGGGGATGTGGGGTAGGGGTTGGGGAAAGGAGGAGGTTATCGTCCTTAACGAGCTACTGATAGTGTTTTAAAGGAAATATTTTCAATGGCAGCGTTGGTACTGTCGAATTCACAAATTATGAATTATTGAAAAGTAGAAAATAAATACATCAGTTGCAGGCTGTAAATTAAACTAATTTTTTTTTTGTGCTTGTAATTGAATTGTAATTGAATAAACATGTATTTTGAATTAAATAACTTAGGTTTCTCAAAGACACATTTGTATACTAAGCAATTTAAGATTTAGTTGTTTATAAAAGTCGATTTGCCGGTGTAGTTACGATTTAGGTTCCGATAATTATATTTTTAGTTAAGGTGTTCGTTTACTTTATGTTTGTGTTATACTTGGGATACAAATTTAACTTTTTGTTGCATTTAGCTTTGTTTTAATAAATTAAATTTTCAATGTGAAAACTCACGTAAGTACTAGAGCTGACACTTTCTAGTGACAATTTTAGCGCAATTTCCTTATGTTATCTAAAAATAGCTCTGTCGTAGCGTAAATCAAGAGCAGGGTTAGTAAAACCATTGGTTAGTTATTAAAACGTTTTTTATTAAAAAAGTTTTCAGTATTTTGCATGTTTTATTTACAATAGAGTTACATGACTAAAAACCATTGCGCGCCTAGCTACCGAACGTGATGACGCAGCCATTGAACGTGATGTCGCAGCTATTGAACGTGATGACGCGTGTGGTGTGGTTGGATAAAAATGCCTACTAATTCGGTCCAAATTTTAATTAATTCAAAAAAATTTTTGTGACCGAACGAAAGGATATTTTTGAAAAATTTCTTCGGCAATATTGTTCTAAATTATGGCAGGAATCGATTGGTACATGTTTCAAGTCGCTAAGTGGTCTGGTTGCCGAGATAAAAGCCAAAAACTGCATTTTGTCGAGGTTTTTTTTGGCATTTCCGGGAAATCCATGAAAGAAACCCGGAATTTTTTTGGCCTATTTTCATCCTCGTAATTTGCTTAACATAATTGCTTTGGAACTAGTCCTCGATATTGCTTCGTTGAGGAGGAGATACGACTTAAAGCTGCGGACACACATCCATTCATTCATACATTCATACATCCAGAAATGACGGGTTAATAAACGCAATTCTCCAGAATGGAAATTGCGCTAAAAATTAGTGTCCAGATACAATGACTGATAAGGTCTATGGAATACTAAAGAATTGTATATACATAAAAATTGATACATATAATGCTGAAAATGTATTACCAAGATAACAAGTAGTTTTTTTTTAAATATTTCTTTTGCATTTCTCATGAAAATACGTTCCTACTTACAAGACAATAATTGTAAACATTAAAAAAAAATTTCAATGTGTGTTTATATGTGAGAAAATTATGAACTGAAAATAAAACAACTTATTATATTTTCAAGAAATTTTTATTGAATGTTAAGAGAAAGAAAAAGTTGGTTTTACTATGGGCCAGAATGAGATGACTTAACCATCTTTCCTTGGCTTCTCATTTAGATATCGACTTTGGGAGGCTCCAACTTCACTAGAGGAACATCGTTGGCCAGAGCCTTGGCGATGTGAGTAGCGTTCTGCCGTATCACATTACGGTCATCCGCCACGGCTGCTCGCTTACGTAGCTTCACGGCGTCCCAGCGGAAATCAGCACTTTTGCCCATGACTTCATCGAACCTGCCAGTTATCTTGAAGACGTATCTGTTTTCATTCAACAAATCGTTTATTACAGGTTTAACAGTCGGGTACCTGTTTATCATGTCGCTCCACAACCAAGGCTGTAAGTTGGCTTC